GAACCTGACGTCTCAGCTTCCCAAATAGCTGGGACTACAGGAACCCACCACCATTCCCTGCTAATTTTTTTGTGTTTTTCTTACAGATGGTGTTTCATCATGTTGCCTAGGCTGATCTTGAACTCCCGAGCTCAAGCAATCTGCCTACCTTGACCCCCACAAACTGCTGAGATTACAGTCATGAGCCATCACATCCAGCCCAGCTCTCAGCATTTTTCTTAAAGATGCTCAGATAATTCCAATGTGCAGCAAAGTTTGGGAGCCACTTAATTAATTAATACCTTCACAGAGCTGCTTTTAAGATTTAAAAAAATAGAGGAAGGTTTTGTATATTATACAATACAGAGTAATATAAAATATCTAAAAAATAAATTCAGTGGCAATACACACATATACACACACACACACAAACACACACACCCCTTTTATTTTTTCTGTCAGAGTTGCACAAAAGCCTTAACAGTTGCTTTCTGTAGTAAGTTGTCTTCAACATTTTTATTTTTATTTTTTTTATTTTTATTTTTTAGATAGAGTCTTATTCTGTCACCCAGGCTGGAGTGCAATGGTGTGATCTCTACTCACCACAACCTCTACTTCCTGGGTTCAAGCAATTCTCCTGCCTCAGCCTCCTACGTCGCTGGGATTATAGACATGTGTCATGGTGCTGGGCTAAATTGTTTTAATTTATTTTTTATGTATTTATTTATTTATTTTAGTAGAGATGGGTTTTGGCCAGGTTTGCCAGACTGGTCTCAAACTCCTGATCTCACGTGATCTGCCCACCTCAGCCTCCCAAAGCAAAGCACTGGGATTACAGGCATGAGCCACCATGCCTAGTCAACATTATTTTAATATTTTTTATATCTCTTTTCATTCTTTATTAAAAATTAAGTACAATCTCTCTTGTTTTCTTCAAAAAAGTCAAACACCATACTTTCATCAAGTGTTTATAATCACTAGAAAAGAATATTAGAATTAATGTGGAGAAAAAAAATCTGAGTAGTTAGAAATAAAATATATAATTTGTCCAAATTTACTTAGTTCAATGGTACTATTATTTAGAATAAACAAAAAATTACAGTCCAGAAATTTTGATCTAGTATTCTGCCATAATATTTTTGAAAACAAAGATCTATTCAGTAAATCTTTCTTGGCTAGATTTGTGCATTGCCTAATGACACAATTATTTCTCTGCTAAGATTTTAGTCAATACTTTAGATTCATTGAGTTTATATACAACACTCTTTTAATACCATCACTTTTCATAAGCTTTTATTTAATTAGATTCACCAAAAGGATTATGCAATTTATGTAATTAGAGTGCAAATAACACATTACCTAATTAAAAAGAACCCTCTGTACTTTGTTGTTAGTATAGACCTTGATGCATCTGTTCACAATAAATTTTTTAATTACATTCAATTTATAAGCAATTATAAATGTAATCTACCACCTAAGAGTGATTTTTGCATTGGGATCTTTTACCTTTGTGGGCTTGTTAACATCCATGCTCTCCTTGAATTTCTCCTGCACAGTTTCTGCAAGTTGACAGAGCAAGGCACCATTGTCCAACTTCTCCATAAAAGTTTCTGCTGTAATCTCCTTCCCTGAAATGACAAAAATAAGCATTATAAAAAGAAAATCAAAATGTCAGATTCACACTAAATAAAATATTTGACACAATCTTATTACTAAAATTGCTATTCTAGCTGAGTTACGTATCTGGGATAGGAGCTTACCAGAAATAGTCATTTCTTTGGAATTTTCTATCTTCCGTTGGTTGCAAGAATTTCAGCATTTAATATTTTCATAACATAGTGCTAACTGCATAAAAGTTTTATTTCATATTAAAGGTGGCAAAATGATATCCTGGGTAAAAGAATTCCATCATTTAGTAATCAGGGGGAATGAAAACTAATCAACAAAACTCAAAGAACCAGCTTTACCAGTGATTTCACAATTTGGCCTCCATTAATCATTCCATTCTCATCCTCAATGGCCCATTCAATTACTTTGACCCATAAGGCAGGACATAATGCAGAACAAGTATTTTTTGTTAGGTGTATGTCTGACTACAAGAACAACGTAGGTCTCTCTCTCTCTCAACAGGATTGTACTCTATCACCCAATCTGGAGTGCAGTGGCAGGATCATAGCTCACTGCAGTTTCAAACTCCGGGGGCTCAAACAATCCTCCAGCCTCAGCCTCCAAAAGTACTGGGATTACAGTCATGTAATCTGGGGTGCACCCAGCCAGATCAATTTTCTTTAATTTAAAATAGAGCCATGTATATATTTTTAAAAACCACCATTGGGAACTTTAATAACATGGCCAATATATAAAACCATATCTCTAGATTCTATTGAAATGGTTTTCCTGATTAAAATAACACAGGTAGGCTGGGCACAGTAGCTCAGGCCTGTAATCCCAGAATTTTGGAAGGCCGAGGTAGGTGGATCACTTGAGCTCATGAGTTACAGACCAGCCATGGGGCAACATGGTGAAACCCCATTTCTACAAAAACACAAAAATTAGCCAGTCATGGTGGTGCATGCCTGCAGTCCCAGCTACTTGGGAGGCTGAGGTGGGAGGATGGCTTGGGTCTGGGAGGCAGAGGCTGCAGTGAGCTGAGATCCTGCTACTGCACTGCTTTCTTATATACTCTTTCAAACCATATCTTTCTCAAAGCCCTCTCCTTTTTTGTTTCCTATTAATCTAAGTTTCAGAATATTCCATTTTCCTGCCTTATGTTTCTGTAAATTATTAGTCAGAAGTCCTACAGATTCAAGCTTCCTTCTATTTCTCATGCCATAACCTTAATAAAAATCTTCATAATGTGATACTTAAACCTCTAGCAACAAGAACAATGGCTATTCTTTCTGTCCTCAGCTTCTCTCTCCAATACATACCATGCTCACTGCTAAAATTAAGATTGCTAAACACCGTCCTCACTGAGGCATTCTCCAGACACCTTTATTGCACAATCCCTAATTTTCTCCTTTACCTGGAATATGAAAACTACTTACATTATTTATAATATTTACTTTCTGTAATTTTGTGAAATAATTTTATTATTATTTGAAAATGCGGCCTGGCATGGTGGCTCATGCCTGTAATCCCAGCACTTTGGGAGGCCAAGGTGGGCAGATCACCTGAGATCAGGAGTTCAAGACCAACCTGGCTAACTAGGTGAAACCCTGCCTCTACTAAAAATACAAAAATTAGCCAGGTATGGTGGCGTACGCCTGTAATCCCAGCTACTTGGGAGGATGAGGCAGGAGAATGGCTTGAATCTGGGAGGCGGAAGTTGCAGTGAGCAGAGATCACACCACTGCACCCCAGCCTGGGCGATAGAGTAAGACTCTGTCTCATGAATAAATAAATAAATAAAATCTGGCTGGAACAACAGATGAACCATTTACCATTTAAGTTAAACTCACAATATCTAATATATTTGAATTTCAAGAAACATCTGCTTAAAATGAATTTTTTTTTTTTCCATTTTGGGGGGCAGTCTTAGGGACAAAGAATTACTTTTTAAACGAATGTTCTTTTTCCCCTACTGGGTAGTTCATATTTTGGCCCCCAATTAGAATAATGACTTCTGCAGGTGGAAAAACATCAGTAGCTTTAAATATTCACCACACAGGTAGCCTGTGCAGAACTTTTATTTCAAAACTGTGTGCAGCTCAGTTCAGAAATGAAAGTAGCATGCCAAAATACAAAAAGCCAGCATAACAGAATTTGTATTGTGTATTCATCATATTGGCCTTCATTTTCCTTTTCTTTTCTTTTTTTTTTTTTCCAACAGAAAGTGACTAGCCACAGACTGGAGTGCAGTGGCACAATCTCAGCTTTATTGCCGAAATCTATTGCTAGGCTGGAGTGCAGTGGCATGATCTCGGCTCACTGCAACCTCTGCCTCCCAAGTAGCTGGGACTACAGGCATATGCCACCATGCCCAGCTAATTTTTATATTTTTAGTAGAGACAGGGTTTCACCATGTTGGCTCCGATGGTCTCGATTTCTTGACCTAGTGATCTGCCCACCTCAGCCTCCCAAAGTGCTGGGATTACAGGCATGAGCTGCCACGCCAGGCTGCATTTTTTAATAATAACAAAAATTATTTCACAAAATTACAGAAAGTAAATATTAGAAATAATTTTCTTAATTATAGTGTTATTCAAATAAATTTAAATTTTAAGATAAAGAAGATAAACTTTAAATTGTTGAATTATTTCTTTACACATTACTTGCAAGATTTTCCATTTTTAATAGATCTTTATATATTTTTATTTCATTAAATTCTATGGCAATTTGAAGATTCTATTCATAATTTTAAGTTATAAGATGTTTACAATATACTTAAAAGAACACGTAAATCATAAAAAGAAAAAAAATTGCTTTCATTAAAAACCCATTAACAATTTACCAAAAGGTATGATTTTTACTTTTTATGCATTATATCTTTTTAGTTATCCTGTTTTTCATGAATACTTGTAAAAAGAATTTTACATTGAACATCTGTATCTAATGAAAAATATATTAGGTGTCAGCTTTCAATTCTGTACATTTTATAGCTCTGAAAGGTGAGTTTTTTTTGGCTAAAACAGACTATTACATACTTTATAGTTGAAATGTACTGCCTCAAATGAAGAAAAAATACAAGTCTGAGACTTTTATAAATAACTTCATGTGTAACATATTTTCCTTCCAATGATTAAAAATTATTAAATATATACTTTATGATTACAATCACTGTGTGATTGTAAGAAATCAGTTATAATCTTTATATGGGGATGATATACTATCTAGTTCTTTATTGCATTAATATTAATAATATCAACAGTATTTTTTTCAAAAAACAATACAATATAAAAGTAGTTGAATTTATCTATGGCAAATTCTTAAGAACAGGCTATGTAGAAATAGTTACAATTTCTCAAGTAAAAGTCATACATAGGTAAATATCTCTGTTAAACAGAATCAGATCTTCTGTAATTTAAATTGTGCACCTGGTTTAACACATCAGACTACACGTACTGGAAACAGTGTGATTTTAGCACCAGAAAATCATTTCTTCCCTAACCCTAGCATTTCATTGTGGTTGGTGTTTGCAGGGAAAGAAAGAACAATAAATGGATACAATTAAAGTATGTTAAAGTCCTGACCAGTGCTGGTCCATAAAGCCATTGGTTTGAACATTAATCTAGTGTATCCTAGTCTAGAAGTAATAGTTTTGCTTCCTGAATTTATAATTGTGATAGTTAATCTTCACATGATTAATTTAGTCAAGAATGACAACTTGCCAGTAGATCAAAATCAGGAAATTTGATTAAATATTGTGGCTAGTCGCTTTCTGTTAAAACATTATAGCTCAAAAGTGGGATATAAACATCTGCCTGAAATCTTTTGCCAGGCAACTATAATCAACATGCACACACAAACACATCAGTGTATTCCTCCCAGAAATATGTTTGCCATAACTTTTGTAAAGATTTACATATCAGTCTATAAAGTGTTTTAGACTGGGGCCACCTGGAAAAAAATAATCCTTTTAATCTTCTAAGTTGCTGAGAAAGAATGTTTTCTTCCCAATAAATTAGCAGTATTAAATTTCTAAAGAATTCTAATAATAATATTTAACAGTTGAGTTATTATTATATGTCAAGTACTGTTCTAAGCATTTTACATGAATTAATGCATTTAATCTTCTCAAGAAAACTGTGAAGTGGGTGCTACTATATATCCATTTTACAGATGATGAAACAGATGTATAGATTAAGTAACCTGCCTCAGGTCACCTAATTCGCGGGCAGAGGAACTTGGCTCTTTGGCAATTTAGGTTCAGAGTTTATGCTTTTAGCCACTATGCTTGACTACTTAAATATTTGCTGAATACACAAATGACTATTTTCCATGACAATGAATTATCCCTCTTGCAGTTGTCTTTTTCTATGTAGAAACACCACAGAAACCTCTTTAGGAAAAAAAGAGAAAAAAAATAAAAGCTTGGGGTTGAAGATTGTGGTGCTGAAAAATGAATAGCAATCCACCTTGTAGGTTGGAGAATGGCTAACAATATCATTCAGGCAAGTTCTGGTACTTGGCATGATTCACTGAAGAAGAAAGTTGGTATATTTTTAATCCCTAAAGATGATCCAGATACTATCAAATTCTATTTTCATCCCCACTGTACCTCTCAATACAAATATATTTTTCTAACTGGAGAATTCAAAGTGGTTCATATGCTGTCTACAGTCTCAAGGTTGTAAGATAGGAAACAGTTCATTATATGCAAAATTCCTAGACCAGCACCTGCTTCACACTAATTTTCAAGTGTCTACCCTGAATTTACATCAAAAAATATAAAGCTGGTTCTGCTGCACAAATCACATACAAAATTAGGATAACTGCTCTGAAAGGTGTCAACTTGTGAACATGAAGGTGATTCTGTAAGCTTTTGAACTAACACAAGATACCACCTGTCCTACGGAATTTTTGTTGGCTATACCAAGAATATGAGAACCCTGCAGAATAAGTATCTGGCAAAAGGGCCACAAGAAAAAAGAAAAGCAAGCTGTTCCAAACTCATTAGATAGTAGCT